TCATATCAGAAAATTAGAATATTGTGAAAAGGTTCAAAATTGATGGCCCCTGGTGCCACACTCTAATCAGCTAATTAACTCAAACCACCTGCAAAAGCCTTTAAATGGTCTTTCAGTCTAGTTCTATAGGCTACACAATCATGGGGAAGACTGCTGACTTGACAGTTGTCCAAAAGACGACCATCGACACCTTGCACAAGGAGGGCAAGACACAAAAGGTCATCGCTAAAGAGGCTGGCTGTTCACAGAGCTCAGTGTCCAAGCACATTAATAGAGAGGCGAAGGGAAGGAAAAGATGTGGTCGAAAAAAGTGTACAAGCAAGAGAGATAACCGCACCCTGGAGAGGATTGTGAAACAAAACCCATTCAAAAATGTGGGGGAGATTCACAAAGAGTGGACTGCAGCTGGAGTGAGTGCTTCAAGAACCACCACACACAGACGTATGAAAGACATGGGTTTCTGCTGTCGCATTCCTTGTGTCAAGCCACTCTTGAACCACAGACAGCGTCAGAAGCGTCTTGCCTGGGCTAAAGAGAAACAGGACTGGACTGCTGGTGAGTGGTCCAAAGTCATGTTCTCTGATGAAAGTAAATTTTGCATTTCCTTTGGAAATCAAAGTCCCAGAGTCTGGAGGAAAAGAAGAGAGGCACTTCATCCACGTTGCTTGAAGTCCAGTGTAAAGTTTCCACAGTCAGTGATGGTTTGGGGTGCCATGTCATCTGCTGGTGTTGGTCCATTGTGTTTTCTGAGGTCCAGGGTCAACGCAGCCACATACCAGGAAGTTTTAGAGCATTTCATGCTTCCTGCAGCTGACCAACTTTTTGGAGATGCAGATTTCATTTTCCAACAGGACTTGGCACCTGCACACAGTGCCAAAGCTACCAGTACCTGGTTGAAGGACCATGGTATCCCTGTTCTTAATTGGCCAGCAAACTCTCCTGACCTTAACCCCATAGAAAATCTGGGTATTGTGAAGAAGAAGATGCAATACACCAGACCCAACAATTCAGAAGAGCTAAAAGCCACTATTAGAGCAACCTGGGCTATCATAACACCTGAGCAGTGCCACAGACTGATCGACTCCATGCCACGCCGCATTGCTGCAGTAATACAGGCCAAAGGAGGCCCAACTAAATACTGAGTGCTGTACATGCTCATACTTTTCATGTTCATACTTTTCAGTTGGCCAACATTTCTATAAATCCTTTGTTTTTATTGGTCTTCAGTAATATTCTAATTTTCTGATATGATGAATTTGAGATTTTCATTTGTTGTCATTTGTAATCATCAAAATTAAACAAAATAAACATCTGAAATATATGAGTTTGTATGTAATGTATGAATATAATATACAAGTTTCACTTTTTAAATGGAATTACTGAAATCAATCTACTTTTTCATGATATTCTAATTTTATGACCAGCACCTGTATAGGCAGTAACAGCTTATATATTCTTTTCTTTAGCATGGCGCTGTGTTTTGTGATGGAGTTAGAATAGATCTTTTTCAGATGTCCCGTTTCTGTTCAGCTAAGCAGCCCATTTGATTTAATATATAAAGTTTTGCACTTTGGTTAAGGTGATTATTAAGAGATTATTTCCAGATACACTAACTGTAGTTTCACCTTTCACTTATGAAATTATGCCTAAATTTCGAAAAGGAAAAAATAAAAACCTGAGTGAAATTGCATAGAATGAAAGTATCCACTTTGAAAGACTATTAGTTGCACTGTGATAAATATTAAATAGAATTGTTATGGTTGTCTTTGAACAGTATTTTTTTATTATAAGAATTGTTGTCTGCACGTTTTTGTATATATTGAATTGAATTGATTTAGTGCAAAATCTAAAAGTCTCTAAGAAATCGCCCCAAGGCAATAGTAAAATAGGTGTATGTATACTTTGATCAAATGATCAAATCTTTAAACAAATTGTTTCATATTTTATTCAGAGGTATCAGAGTAATGTGAGCATGCCAGACCTGTTAAATTACTTTTGCACGGCACTCTATAACACAATACTTGAGCGGTGCAGTGAGGCCATTCTCTACAGCTGACACATTCGGCTATGCATGACTAGTTGCCCTATTGCTGTTCAAATAGAAGAGCGTTGTAAATGCTCTCATTTGACTGTTGGAATGTATTCCCCCAAAATGTTGAACTCCTTTTAAAGATTCATGTTGCCCTGCAGGTGTGATGCTAATGAGTTTAATTTAGATGACAGCATGATCCTGTTAAATGTACTGCTGCCAGAGCGAAGGGTGGAGGCATCTCTCTGCTGCTTTACAATGAGAGGTTTTACTCGGTGTTCCCGTTACAATGAGCTGTCTTTATAAATGCCTCTCTACATGTTTTGTGATAATGCAGGCAATTTGTTATGCATTAGACAAGTGGCCACAAGTTGTTCTCAGTGGACTTGATTTTGCCCGTATCTAAAGGGATCTTATGAAAAGGTGTCTGCCACTTTCAACTTTTTCTTTGTTGTTCTCATTAAGCTAAGCCTGAGGCTTTGCATAAATCACTTGAGACTCGATGTCTGAGCTATAGAAGTGAAGGTTATGAAGTGAAACTTCACCATGTTTTGCTAGAACAGCAACCACATAATATTTATGCTTTCTCTTTAAGTACAGAGTGCATAACTAATGAGACTGAAGAGAGAGATTGGTTCTGTACACTCAATAGTTGTGTTGATGAGCTGACTGTGGCGACACTGCTGAGGAGAGTTGGACTAAGGTTAGAGTCATGCAGCAGGTCAGTTTATTATTAAAGATAGGCTCTGTGTAAGCACCCTGATGCTCTATCTCTCCAGTTCTTTTCCCTGAAGAGAGATCACTCAGGACAATTGCTAACATACATTTTTTACTCAAAAGTTCTTATATTTCTACTATTGCTGCCAAGCTGCTATTAAGATTAGGGCTGCAACTAACAAGTAGTTTGCAAATTAATTAATCTTTCGATTTTTTTTTTTGATTGATCGATAAATAATCGGATAGACAAAGGCTCCTTAAAGAAAACTTTTTGCGAAATTAAACCAGTGGAATTAAAACTTTTCCTCTTGAGGAGTTCTGGATAGTACATATAGACAGGCAAAAACATTTGTATCTTAAATACAAAATATTTACACTTTTCTTTTATTGTGATATAATTAATGCTCTTAACTCCAGTTAATGATTAATTGATTACTAAACTAGTAGACGATTATTTCAATAATCGATTAATCATGATTAATCCGATTAATTGTTTCAGCCCTAACTAAGACCTTTAAACATGACAGGCTTGATAAAGCAAACTGTAGGATATCTATCCTCCAGAGGTCTTAGTTTTAAATACTGTTACACTGTTACACGATATAAGCTTAGAAGCATTTTTATTGTCGGTTTTTTTTTTCTTATTTACTATATTTATAATGAATGATAACTTTATTAGATTTTGCATTTCAAAATTACATTAATCTGCAAAATCCAAAACATTATAAGCCGTTTTAAGAACTGAGATTTAAGTTAGAAGTCCGAACCCTGTTGGTCAGTAAAACTGAGGGTTTTTATTTGGGTTAATATTTATACTATATAAGCAACAGTTAGGATTTCAGCTTGTAATTTAGAAAACTATCTGACAAAAACCTAAGAATTCAGTTTCCTGATGAAAAAAGTAGCTGATATGGAAAACACAAACAAGAACAATGATAGATATCACAATATCAAAAGATGATTTCCAAAGGTATAATCACAGATTTTTTTCTAATATTAAATAATCTAAAACAGTACTGTACTAAAAAGTAATCAACAAAAATAGTTTTCTCTTCTTTTCTTCTTCTTTGTAATTCTCCTCATGTAATCATGCCCATCATCCCCCTCAATCACTAATTTCTAAACTGTCACCATTGCTCCATCCTATTATCAGCCTCCTTCAATCTTTCCCTCACTCACCCCAGATAGCTGCATGGTTATGATGCAAAATGTTTGCCACTGCATGCTGACACAAGCCTGATTAATACCCGGCAAACATCTAGGTTGAGAAATACGTCCAAACAATGTCCAAGCCGGAATGAGGGCTGGTAAGTTCTTATTTTTAGTTTAAAAGAGCATGTTTTTTTTTAGCTCTAACTGGCAGATTTACAAAAGCCTTTTGCAATGGGCAACAAATCAACAAATAAACTGCTATTTACAAGCATAACATATTTTCCAGATGAGTTACACTGCAGCAGGACCTTTAATGTGCAATTAGAAATAATTTAAATGAATAATTGAATATTTTTCCACAGTGGAAAAATTTAGGATGTATCAGCAGCAAATCCAAGAAAAAAGGGGAAAACAATTTATACTGAATCAAATGGAACAGATTATGCTTCCGTTTTGGCCTTCAGGCATCTTGCGTCATTTAAAGACTTTATTTGCATTCTTATTATTTTCTATCCCGTTTATGGGACATAGATTAATTACCTGACAAGGATAAAACTGCTCCATGTAAATGTGGTCTCACTAAATCAAGGCTGTGCTTAAAAACTGAGTGCAATCTGAATAATATCTATGTGTGGCCTTTTATAATCAAAAGCAGATATTTTATTCATTCAACCCTTAAGTCTGGGGAGCCTTTTTCATTCAAAAGTTGGAATTATTTTTGTGTATAAAGATCCTGCAAACTGTCTTATTTCTATGCCTCAGGGAGAATGAATGTGTTTCACTTTGACTATGATGCATTTGATGTTAAATAATAAATGAAAGTGCGTGTAGTGAAATATAAAAAGTATTGCTGCAATATTGACTGTTGGTTAGCTGAGGTGAAGACAAATTAGCAGTGCTTAGTTATCAGCCATTTGACAGAACTGCTCTGAAATAACTTCTAGAGAATTTTAGTCAATGTGAATTTGTTAGACTGAAAAACCACACAGATCTTTCTTTTGCTGAAATCTTAATCAGAGAACTTAAAACTTATTGCTTATTTTTACAACTTTAAAGAAGTACGCTTAATGTGTACTTTCTCTTTTTTCCCACCCTTCTTTAGACAACCTCCATCAGACACTGGGCCTAAAGCAGGAATGCAAAGCACCCACGGAGCGGGCGACAGGTTGGCCTTCCACGATTCCAGTCAACATGCTGCGTCTCAAGGGGAGCAGGGACAGGGTCATGTGTCCAGGAAGAATCTGCAGGTCGACTTGGGCGGCGGCAGAACCGGAAGGTCCCCTTCTGCATCCCCAGACCGTGGGAGCGTCCCTACTTCCCCTTATTCTGTGCCTCAAATTGCTCCGATGCCCAGCAGCAAACTTTGTCCTGTCTGCAAAACCACCGACCTGATGGGTAATGGGGACGACAAACCCAGCTTCAACACCTGCACACAGTGCCACTCCATGGTGTGCAACCAGTGTGGCTTCAACCCCAACCCTCATCTTACAGAGGTAGGCAGCAGCCTTTTAAGGGATATTTTACTTTTTTAAGCAGTTTTTTTTTTTTTTGCTGTTTTATTGATTTAATCATTCGTTTTTATAAATTTTTTAATAAACTTTAGTGATATAATACTTGATATAACACAGAAGTTACATCGTGCTAAGGTTGGAACAACAGGATATTCATGATTAAAGAAAAATAGCCAAAATATTTTTTTTGGCAAAAATGACAAAAACATCATCTTGTTTTAAATTAAATGTGTTAAAGGTAATTTTCCAGGATGGTAATATGTTTAAAATGTTGTACATGAGAACAATCAAATAACAGTATTTTACCTTGCTTTCTATTCGTTAAAAACATACCGATTGCTGCATGGTTGATTCTAAAAGTTTCATTATATAATATATAAAATATAAATCAATGTAGTATTGCATGCACAAGGGTATTTTAAAGCATACTGCGGTTAAATTATCATTCTGTGGAACGATTGCTCTAATCAGTGTTGATATGCAGTTTTGATGATGACTATTGTTGCTGAGTTGGCTCTGACGGCCTCACAGTCTGTAATGCACCAGCTGAACAAGAGGGAACATGTGAGATCGGTTCCATGCTGGCTGAGAGCTGTGAACCTTTTGTTCTAGCAACACTTTGCCTTGATTTTTGAAATCTGTTGAATATAATTTGCAACTCTTAAGATGTGTTAATGTAGAAGAAATAGTGCAATCTGAGTCTTAAAAAGAGAAGAATTCATCAATCTGGTTGTATGATTAATTCATGTTATATAACACAAAATAGTCAATGTTGGCTTTACATGATGTTAAGTGATACTCCTCTTCTCATTTAGAAATGGGCTAATCCTTTATTGTGGTAACAGAATCTGACAATATAAAATTTCTGCAATCCCCCTTATTATCTTTCTCACTGTGTGGGTTGGCAAGATAAAGTTTGTCTTTTGCTAATCCGTGCTTGCCACAATTCTGGTAATTTTACTACTTATAAAGCAGTAGTTGCACATTTAGGAAAATAAATATTTTGGTAGCTATTTCCAAAAATTAGGTGGAGAGGAGGACAATCCAGGTCGAGCAATGAAAAAGTCTGTCCAGACAAAAGTTCCAACCATTAACAGTTCCAGCCCAACAACACAGACTTTAGGGTATTCACCCATTTAAAGAAACAGGATGAAGGGAAACTAGACAGGGCTTTTACTGTCTGGACTTGGATCATCCACCTTTGGTCAGGTGTCACAGTAAGTCCTATCTTGCCATCTATGTTGCTGTATCTGAAAAAAAAAAAATCACTGTGATAAACTTGAAAAAATGAAATTGATAGAGAAAAATAATTCCTCCTTGAAGATGAAGACTTTGAATACTGTATCATTTACCCTTGCATTTGATATATTTAATGTGTACTAGGATGAGGAACGTAACATTTGCTACGTAAATATTTTCAACAATTATTATTGTCTAGTGTTTCAATAACTGCACCCTTCATTTTCGAAAGGGATGGACCCATGATATTAAGAGTCTAGCTGGATCTACTCAGAGAGAGCAGTTAAGTCTTTTTCTATTTTTATTTGTTTTTATTTCCCACTTTGTGATTAATCATTTAGACAACAGGTAGGTAAAGACCTTAGGACAGAAGGACCTGACAGTTAGTGAACACATAATATTCAGAACACACACAAATTATAAATGGAATGAGAATAATTGAACAAATCTAATTCCCATATATCCATAACAGAGTCTTATGAAATGTACTAGGAGTCTTAAGAATAAGTTAATCAAAAGTATCACTATTACCAAAATGTACTACAATATTGCACCTTGCCTAAATATAAAAGCATAAATATCATCCGATATAACCCCATAACGCACAACATTGATGCACATATCCTAAAAATTATTAACATTACTGCAGCCATTTCCAAATCCAGTTGTAAAAACCAAACGAGGAGGACTCCACTCACAATACACACACTAAATTAAACACAGCAGCAGCAGTAGGATCCTACATAACAGTCAAATTTCTTACTAGCTGCCTCTTCAGTTTTTCATCAATGAGTCTTCAATTCTCTGCAGTTAGTTTGATGCATGAGTCTCTCACACAACTTGCAAGATTATGCAGCTGCCTTCCTACGAATCCTTTATGCCCTCAACAATGTCTGTCAGGCAAAGAAATTCAGGTGTGCTCACACCAGTGGCCACGCCCTGTGCTGCTAATAATTTGCAGGTCAGTGCAACACTTATTGCTTGATTCTTTTTCTTCTCCATGCTTAAAGATTACCTTATGATCTTATGCTGACAGTTTGGCTCTCTATACAAAGAGGCTCCAAGTGATCATATAAGTAGCTGACCCCCCCCCCCCAAAATACATCCCCTAACCAAGGAAAAAAGTCCCCCTTCTTCTCATCATCTACTAGGATTTGGCATGCAGAGATAAGTGATTGATCATCAATGCAGACAGAGCATCTGTATCATGTAGAATGGGACCAAAGAGTAGGTATGCCCCAAATTAACTTTGATTTTTTTTTATAGTGAACTTTATAAATGGGGTCTTAAGGGTTCTGTCTATATGTCTCTGTGTAAATGTTGATTTGTTTGTGTAATTTCTGCAGTATTTGACCTAAAACCATCCAGGTTCTGCCCTTTTGGGCTGCTGCAGTAGAATTTCCATATTTTTTGGAAGGGGTTTGGTTGATATCTGCATCAGAACTTTGAGGTTCCATCCAAACCCATCCATCCAAACTTTTTTTTCGGGTAAGGATTTTACCAATTAATTAGCATAGTGTTTAAAAGAAGCATTATTTTCTAATGATGGTGCCTCCTGTGGCAAAACACAGAACTGCAGCACTCTTCTGTGCCTTCTCATAACTTGTACCAGCAAAAAAGGTATTCAAATATGCAATTCAGTTAAATAAAGAAAATAGAGGGTAATTGAATCAGTCGACATTTTACTAACCTTCTTTACAAAGAGAGAACAAAACAATCCTAGCAGCCCTAATAGCTCAATGTTCTACCCTGTTCTGTTTAGAAAGAAATCCCTCTCACTAACTTAAACCCTACAGAAAAGCTGTGAATGTTGTCTGCATGATTAATCAAGATAATTACTGACAGTTAAAACAGTGAGAACAGTCTTTTTTCTATCCTAAACATTCCCTTATAGGATAAACAACTTCTCTTCCTTAGTCACCTTGTAGCCTTGCAGCTCTGAGGCCCGAATTAATGTTTTTATAAGTTAGTAAATTTAAAATCAGCTCTCATAAATCCATATATGTAAAAGGGAATTAATAGAAGATTGTTTTTTCTCAACACAAAAGATTTCTTTTTTGTTCACTTGACCTGGAGTTGCTATTGGTGTCTGAGTTGAGCTGGATGCTGGCCAGTTTGGAGTATCCACAAAATCCATCTTGAATATAATGCTTTGATTGCTTGCTAGGTTGGACCCATCCAACATGGACGCGCTTGACTTCACATTTGCTGAACAGTACAAAAACTTCTAACCCAAAGTAAATTCAGGAAAACAGGCTACAGGCTTATACAGTAAATGTATTGTCCCTGAACTACTGAGGTGTCAGTCTGCTCATCAAACTGTTTTAGTAATAAAGGGTTAAATAAAAAGGGCATTTTAAAGATCTATCTCTTAGTAAAATACTATACATAATGTCTCTTAATTAATACTAAACCAGGCCTATACCCTTCCACTTATTCACAGTCTTACCTCTCACCGTCCCTCTCAGTGTCTCTTCACACTGCCTGCTTTGGGAAATTATTCTAAATTGGTCTTAGGTTGGGATTTTCTTTTTACATCAAGTTTTCTACTTTAAGCAATCATATTGAGTTATTGCATCATTATTTCCTATCAAATATCTTATCAAGGCAGGAATTAATTAAACAAATTTCAATCATAAATATCAATCACATTCAGTTATATACATCTTTAATACAGTGCACGAATATTCAGTTTACAGCATCATTTAAATAGGAAACTTAGAATATTCCATTGGGTCGTTGAATGTGCAGTAGAATTGCATTTCATTGGTGATATATTATGAAGATCAACCAAAAAGTTCATAAATTGAGTAATATCTTCTCTAGTCTATCTATGAAGTCTTGCTGAAGAAATTGGCCTCTTGTATCACATATTTGAAACACTGTAAAGCAAGAAGTCATAATTTCCAACATATTATTTGTTAGGAATGTGGATAATTTTGGCAAGAAGATAGATAGATGTTAGAGAAAATGATTTCTTAGTGTACAACACGGGTTAAAGGCTGGACTTACCAAGTTACAGGTTTCAAAATACTGAAAGAAAGGTATTAAAAGATGTGGGTAAATACCCTAAAAGGACAACCAAGATACCTGTAAACGGCCAAGCCAGGTCAGGAAATGTAGTCTTCATTAGCAATTAGCACAGAGATGGACTGCAGTGTTGCAAACCAAATCTAAAGAACTCCAAGGCTCACTGAAGTATACTAAGGGTATCAATATTAATACATACTGGGCCTGAAAATGTTTTTGGACCTTATTCATCTTTAACGCAGTTGCTGGTAAAAAAAAAGGGAGCTGAGGCCCATTTTATGAACAGGTAGTTGAGAAAGCCTTTTGCCTCTATCCCGAATTAAGCCCCTTTCCTATGAATTAGGCCATGCCTCAGTGTTACTGTGGATCAAGTGTGGCTGTGTCATCTGTCACAAAGTTTCACATCAACTTCAATGAGTCATTTGGCAAATTTGCAACAATGCAACATTAGTATAGCTGGCCTATAGGCTCTGGGAGCAGCCAGAGGCTTTTTACAAACCAAGTTATCGAAAATATATTAATATTTTTTGAACAAATGCAGTGTTTATGTAAATATATGGGGTAATGGCTGTGTTTAGGCTTGAGTGCCCTTACGCATGACTGTAGTATAACTCAGGAGGCTGCCATTGTTAGAGGGAAGGAAAGCAGGCGAGAAAGGCATAAAAAGGACATGGAAAAAAACCCAACAATAAAGCAAGAGACAGAAAGCGGAG